TCGTGGAACTTACCCTTGTCATGGAGATGGGGATGCTGAAAACGCAGCTGGACCGGGAGTAGCCTTTAGCAGATCAGTGCCCTCATGGGCCTTTCAAGTGATTACTGTGAACGCTAACGCATTGAATAGTCTGAAAGTTTCGTATACAAGCTCCGAGTAATGTCTTGCAGCCACCCTGATCTTTGTTCAGGAAGTGCACATCTTGACAGAAGGGCAGGTGAACGATGCTACGTCTCGGTGTACTGCACGGGGGTGGAATGCTGAATTCACGCTCGCCTCTCGCCTTGAATCGGGAAGCCTTCTGGAGGGGTTGCCTTACTGGCACGCGCTGACTGGAATAGTGGACTCTCCTCTTGACCCTGATTGTTCTGGATATTCTTCGAATACAGTCGGGCTGGTGAAAGAAGGAACGCTAAAGAAGGAACGAAGCCCCTTCTTGGCCCTGTAAGCGCCTCCGTGCCCCCCGTGCCCCGGGAGGGCAAGAGGAACAGCACTGGAGGAACCCGAGGAACATCGAACCCCTTCCGAACCAAAACTGTTCCTTAGTTCCGCGTCTTGACTTTCAGGGCGTTGGGACTTAGGCTTGAAATTCCAGGCGTTGCTTCTATGACTGGCGTCTCCTTGTATCTTGCTGGTAAACAGGGCTCATCTGGCTACAATATGGGGCTCCTTGCCCAGGCTGCGGCCCTCCAGGATAGGTACCCGTTGCCGACCTTTGTGGGGGGGTATAAATTGAAGGCTTCTCGGATCCAGAATACAGAAATCTGAAAAACATGCCGGACAATTGTGGTTGCACCATCAGCTCCGACACGCTACACGAAGAACAGCAAGACCACCATCGATCATTTCTGGGTTCCCAGGTTTTGGGTAAAGCCTTAGACAAGGTCGAAATGGATGTTCAACACGAGCTCGCCCAACATCGTCCGGTGCCGGTTTTCTCGACGCCTCAAGGCAAACTAAAGACCCCTGTCCTCCGCAAAGGACAACGTCTCCTCACGGAATTCCCCTTCGGCCCTGCGAACGTTTGGAGCATGGAACGACGTGAGGGAGGCAGTGGAGCAGCTAGGGCAGTACCTTGGACAGGGTGGTGTGAAGCATCAGAGTAGGCAGATGAAGTTGGACACAGCCTACTCTGTCATATTTAGAGGCTTGTTAGGACAGTCTTAAGAGTTATTGACACGCCATTGAAAAGATAGACACGCAGGAAAAGGTCCTGAAATTGTCTGGGTCCCCGCGGTTGAGCGGGCGAACCAAGTGAAGCTCTCTTGGAAATCGCAGGCTGCCCCGATGCGATGGCTTAAAAAACTGGGTGATCCGAATCATAAGGGCCGTCTTGAATGATGTCGAAAAGATTACGCTGATCACTTTGGAACTGGATCATGCACCTGCTGAGTTCGGAAAGGTTTCAGCACTGATCTGTATGCACGCGCGCGCACTCTCCAGCAGGCTTTGCGAGCGGATGTCGCCTGGCAAACGCTGAGGGCGGAGAGTGCGCACGAGATCCTGGATTTCCTTCTCTCGGATGTGCCTCGTGCCCTGGACGCTGAGAAGGCGAAGGGTACGGCCTCTGAAAAGGAAACGTGGCGCGCCTGGGTCGTGGAGCACACCGAGTGCAACACTGGATGGGTCCATCGTTGGACTACGTCTCAGGAAGGTTGGGCGCCAAGCCAGGCCGAACGGAATGGGGAGTGGCAAGGGCAGCCCACGGACTTGCTGGCAGCAGAAGCAGACAAGCTCCATTGGTTATGACAGGCAGTTGAGCGGCCGTTACCAGCATGGCAGTGTGAAGATGATATCGTGTTGTCGCCGATAGCCGGGGGAGATGTGAAGAGGACAGCCAAGGCCTTTAGCCATTAAACTTATTCCACTTATGATGGGATGCATCCCAAACACTACGGACCTATGGGGAATGAAACACTCAACCTGTTTGCGATATGTTTCATGTGTGTAAAGAGCAATGCTAATTTTCAAACGGTCTTGCAAGCCATGTATGCTCGCATGATTCCGAAGGCTGTGAAAAATAAGGGCCTTCGAATTCGCGCTGCTTGTAGGGGCATCCACGTGGGGCCCTCGATGAACCGCGTATCGGAAAAAAAACACGTCAGGGGATTGCCCGAGAATGGGAAAGGAGTCATCAGATGGAAAGCCTGGCACACCAGAAGGGCACGTCTATTCTGGAACTTGTTGTCCTCCAGGGCCCTGTTTCCGAGCACGCTGTGCACTGTGAGAGACCCCTGCGCACTGCGAATGTCGTGTACGAGATGGAAGACTACTACGAGTTACTACGAGCATGTAAACAGGAACCTCGCGTAGATACGGGCCAAACAGAATCGTTTCCCCACATCGACACGTGCGGTTGTCTTCAACATGTACCAGGCGAGACCATGTTTAGGCATGAGTGCAGTGGCAATGGAGGGAAAGTGTCCAAGGGGCGCGATTGCTGCCAGATGTCCCTTCGCGACATTCGTGGTGCAGATATACTCCCATGAGCCTGTCGGAACACTTCCCATTGCTTTGGCAAAGATCGGTCTGAGTGCGACCATACTAATTGACGACTGGGTGCTGCAAGGTACGCACCACGAAGCAAACAGGCTAGTGGAAAATATGGCTTTGGGAGCTGCTGAACCACTGAACCACAAGTAGTTATACAGCACGAGCTGCTATGTAGAGTTGCCGTTTAGAAGACTGCGAGGGTGGCCAGTTCCGATCGAGTAATGAAGAAACTTCAGAAAAACAAAAAAACATAAAGCAGCATGGGGGAGTGTACGGCCGAGGAGCCCCCAATCTCGGTATTGACGCTTTCGCGGGCCAACGGAGAGCGAGAACTGGAACTCACCCCGCCCTCAAGGGCCTGCAGGTGAAGCTCAAGAAGAGGGCGAACAAGCTCAGAAAGGTACGGGCGGTCGGTCTCAGGTCCTTTGGATATTATAGAGACGAGATTGTGGGGCTGGACCGGAAGGAGTTGCACCAAGCACAGAGCCACTTCTTGGAAGACAGTTTGCTCTGGCACCATATCCCGCAGCAGGTCCTTGTCCCTCCTATTCAAGTAGGACCCCGCCTTCGAGCTGGCCTTGGGGCCAGTGCTACTGTGGTCCAGGATCATCTGCAAGGTTGGCACGGGCACTATGCCAGGATGGGACCCTCGTTTTTGCGAGAAACCCGATAAACTGTAACGAAGTCCGAGGCCCTCTCGGAACTGCCTTGATTTTTCTTGGAAGAGTAGGCTGGCGATTCGACACGCCCTTCGACATGTTCGATTCGAATTGCAATCGAGTTATTTTGAACTCCAGATCCCCTCAGCAGCTTCACAGCGACCTCAGAGGGGAATGGATGCTAATGGTGTCTAGGAGGGCGGCCTCCAAGTTGAAGCTATTTGGGTAGTGTGTTGAATATTATATATACATATATATATATATTGCCATGAAGCTTTGCAGCGACAATTCCCCACTGAATGCTGGAGAGAAGTCGGCGCTGAAGTCGTTTGTCCTGCAGCAGAAATGGACGAACACACGACTATACCGAGCAGGGTATGACACGGACACGAAATTCGTTTGTGGGTACCCCACCGGTGATATGCACCACCGGCTGTTGCACTGCCCCTTGACCCAAGCACTCCAGGATGAATTAGAAGATGATGCATTGGAAATAATGAACGGGGACGCCGCGCGGCATTCTTTACTTCTTGGGTTACGGACGGAGTGTACTGTTGCTCCCTGTCCCCCGAAGGGATTGGGGGACCAGGATGGTATTTTCTGGTGTCGTGATTCGTCGGTGTCGTTTCAAGAGACTTTCAGAAGAGAAGTGCTTTCGGATGGGAGTGCCCTCAAAGACCGACATGATATAATGATGTTTGATGGATGGGGTCTGGCCGTTATTGACCAGCACGGTGAATATGGGCGACGTATCGCGGCGGAGTTGGGAAAATGCTTCCGCCGACCAGCCCTGCTGCAGAAAATCTTGCAGTGCACGTCGCCCTGATCCAGTTCCCCCACATGACCTACCTCATTGCTGATTACGACGGCACTCTAGGATTGGCTGGCTGGCTCCCCTGCATGTTGTACAATAGGAACTCTTACTATGCTAGCGTGCATGTGCAAGCCATACGCCGTAAGGTATGATGTAATGAAGAGGTTGTTAAGACCAAATCGTATGTTAATCCTGACGCGCTTGCTCCAGAATCTGATGAATGGCCACAGGCCGCTGGCAATTCGAAGGCGGACCTTGTGGCCAAGGCCGGGGCTCTCTGCCATAACCGGCCCTCCAGTGAGGAGTCTGCCACTTCCCTCTCCGATGGCAAGGACGTGCGGGCTTACTTGATTCATGTTGCTGAGGCTGTGCTTCTTTTCGCCCGAGTTCGAAATCCCGGGTCCCAGAGGCCGAGACTGCGCAGCGCAGGCCGAAGGAAGGGGAGGGAGCCAGTTCGACGGCACCTTCGTCAGGTGCCCTTGCAGGCGTGGACACCTTAGGGCAGGCTGCTCGGGAAGGCAATCGCCCCGCCACCCGAGGCCTGCTCGGGCGACCTCCCTGTTGCGGGGGAGCGTGCCGACCACGTGTGCGGCCGAGGCCCCTCACGCCCCTCTGGCCCCTGGCCCTGCCTCCCCTCCCGCTCCGCTTCCCCCCCTTCTCGCTGGTGGGCCTGGCAATCCCGCTCCTCGCGCTGGAGGTGCGCGGGATGTTTCGGGGAACGCCAGGGCGAGGAGCGTCCGGATGCTTGCTGTTGACCAGGTTCCCCTGACAGACTCCGCAATGTGCTTCGTAACCCCAAGGGCCACAAGCTGTACATTGCTGACTTCTCTTCCGTCGATGACAGATGTATCATAACATGTAGCCTGTAGCGCATGCGGAAGTTACACTTCCGATGGTGGGCCGAACAATTTACATAATGAGTGTGATGAGGCATTCAAGTCCAATGGCGCAAAGGCCGCTTGGAAGCGTGTCGGGGAGCTGAAACATCCCTCGTACAAGCAGGGGCCGGCCAAAGTGTTGGAACCTGCCCTTGCTTAGGACTTGCGCCGAGCGGCAGATTGGGTAGCCAGGCGTGGGTCAGCACGTGGATAGGAACCCCCACCTTGATGGTGGGAACAGTTCTTATCCCAATGCTTTCCCATACTGGCTTGACTTGTCTTGTCGCTCTGAAGTATCCAATCCAATCCAATCCTCCTCCTTCTCCCCCTCCTCCTCCTCCTCCTCCTCCTCCTCCTCCTCCTCCCCCTCCTCCCTTTTTCCCCTCTCCTCCTCCTCCTCCTCCTCCTCCTCCTCCTCCTCCTCCTCCTCCTCCTCCTCCCCGTCTGCCCCCTACCGGCGGAGAGGCCAACGGACCTCGGTAGTCGCGGGCCCCGGAGGAGGAGGCCCCGCTCCGTTGAGAGGCGCTGCAGAGGAGACCACGGAGCTCGGCGCTTGCGAGGTGAAGACCCCGATTCAGACAAGACGTCAGGGCGCGGGGCGATCCAATCGACAGCCGCCCAGGGAGCCTTCCTTTTCCGCCTGCCACTGGTGTTCCAACTCGTCGATCGCCGAGGTGCAGACCCCAGCACATCCGCGAGCACCAGCGCGAGCCTCTCGCTGATACGCGGCAAGGCATAGGGCTCTGCCAGCTCCAGCGCGCGTTCGATCAGCTCCTCCCGCAGGGCGTCGTCCACGAGGATTCGGTCCACCCACTCGATGGCCTCCTGCAGATTGCGTGCCACTGCTGGGTATCCGGTGTTCTCGACAACGTCCAGGAAGCCCTGCTCGTACCAAACCACCGCTGGTAGGCCAACAGCGAATGCGTTGACCAGCCTCTGTCCTGTCTTGTAGCGGCTGCAGAACCACCGTGGTGTAAGCTGGTCGGCGAGGTGAGCCATACACCCAGTGTGCCTGAGCAGAATCACGTCCAGCTCGATAAGCTGCCGGTAGACCTCCTCAGTGTGCTGCGGGGACACGACAAGCCCGGCCGTGAAAGAGAAACGGTCCATCGGGTCGATGTGGAGGAAGCGAGCCGTCCCGGGGTGCTTGGCGAGAAGATGGCTTTCCACAGCATCGTGCAGCTCGGTGTCGTTGTGTGTTGTGTGCGTCCCGACCACCTCTGCCCGATCGCCCGACCACCGAACACCCCGAAAGTTCGAGTGGTGCAGCGGGTGCCAAAATACCCTGGTACCCAGTGCCCGGGCCTCGGGGTGGCTGGCGTAGTCGGCAGCCGCCAGGGACGTCTGGGCCAGGATGGCGTCCATACCAGGAGGCACCAGCGCGAACTGATCCACAGGGTCGTAGATGTGCCGAGCGCCAGTGCCGGCGAGCAACTCCTGGGCGCATGTGCACGCATACTTGATGTGCACTACCACGCTGGGAGCCGAGAACTGGGGCCCCTTCTGGGAAAACCAAACGGTACCGATGCCGCTTCTCCCCGGACCCCTCCCGGGGTGCGTCCTTACGAGGCTCCCGAGGCCCATCCAGCGGTGGCAACGAGGGCCTCCCAGGAGTCCCAGAAATTTGCAAGCGCGTTCCACTACTCGCAAAGTAGCTGCTCGCAAATGGATGGCCCGGATCCGCCGCGGGGGGATCCACGATAGACTACACAAAGGGCAGACGCATGGCTCTTCGGGCGCTTGCGAGCAGGCACTCTCTCTGCGAGCAGTGGAACGCGCTCGGCGCAGACGGGCCAAAGCGGGGCGAGGGCAGCGGCATGGGTGATGGGCTTGTTTTCCACAACCACCACCATAAGCCTTCTCCTCCTCCTCCTCATCCTTCTCCTCCTCTCCTCCTCCTCTCCTCCTCCTCCTCCTCCTCCTCCTCCTCCTCCTCCCCCCCCCTCCAACCTATGGTGGTGGTGGTGGAAAACAGGCCCATCAATGGGCACCCCTTCCTCCTCGGGACCTTCTCCCCGCGCTCCCCGCACCACTCCCCGCAGTTGAAGTTCCACGCGCGCGCGCGCACGGCGGGCCCAGCGCCGCGGAGCTGCCGCAGGCCCCGGGCGGCCTGCCGCCCCCGCACGGTGAAGGAGCCCCACTTGGCGCCGCTGGACGTCCCGCTCACGAAGAGCACCTCTCGAGCAGGGACCGACCGCCCCGGCATGCCTCTGGGCCTGCCACGGCACGGTCTCGGAGCCCAAACATGTCCTCGCGACAAAACAGCAAGGTCCTCAGAACATGGCCCAGACGTGTGAAAACGGGACAGCCCCAGCCGGACATGTTCGAAGAACACGTCGCGCAGACACTCAGAGGTTCTTAGAACATTCCTTGGTAGGCCTACAGGCCAGCCAGGACGCTTCGCCACCGCTTGAACCTCGGCGCCATCGAGCCTCGAGCACAGGGCCGCGGCCACGGCCCTGCCGCCGTCTCGCCACGCCCCCGGCAGCGGCGTCTCCCCGCGGGCGTTGAAGGGCGAGGCCGACGCGTGCCAAGACCACGCGCCCATCGCCCCCAACACCCGCTCCTCTAGAGGCCTCCCAGATGGGGTCCAAGTAGATGAGGTAGGAGGAATGCACCGCATCGCCAATGCATCTGCGATGCATCGCCCATGCATCGGCGCTGCATCCGGCATGTCGGCGACGTCTCTGCGCCATCGGCGCCACTCGGGCTCCGCATCGAGCCGCATCGGCGATGCGGCGCGATCCTCCGACCCCATCGACGCACTCGGACCCCATCTAGGAGGCCTAGAGCCTCGCAGCCCGCAGGCGGCGCTGGCAGGGGCGGCTCCGCCGCCTGGCCGGCGCCCGGCAGCGCCGCCAAGAGCTGCAGCCAGGGCCAGCGCGTCGTCAGCAGGTCGTAGAAGAAGCGCCGCTGCTTGCCCACGCGGTTGGCGTGCATCGCATCCCAGGTCTTCAGGGCCGACAGCGCCTTTCACAGGGGATATGTCGACCCCTACCCCAGGCTTCGTGGGCGCTTCGAACGGACCAGAAATGCAGGGCCCAACCGTGGGATGCACGAGGGGGGGCGCCCATCCTCGATAGGGGTGCGTCCGAAACGCCACCTGGGGGTGTATCCCAGGGCTCTTCCTTCTTCTCTTGGTCGCTTCATCTTCCGGCGCGAAAAGCCGCGGGGTGGGATAGAAACCTCGCCCGCGAGCCTTGTCACCGAAGCCGTCCGAGACGCCCGTGGTGTGCCCCAGCTTCGACAGCTGCAGGACGTGCAGAAGCGCAACGGCCAGCCCGAAGGGGCACTCGGTCCCGGGCGGGGCGACCAGCCTGGCGTGAGCCGCCCGCACCGCGTCGCTGGCGGTGCCGCGGTCGAGCCCGTCCACTGCGAGGATAAACAACACTCGCGACTGGAAGGCGAGGGTGGAGGCATCATCCAGAAGGTCGCACTCATTCGGGACAGCGGCGAGCCTCTCGCGCAGGGTGTCGCCAACCCTCTGGAGCAAGGTGACCAGCGACCACTGCGCGGTCGCCCACGTCACCAGTGGCACGGAGAGGATAAAAAACAGGGCCTCCAGCTCCAGCTGCAGCCTCCACCACATCGAGTCGAAGTCCTCTGGCTCGCAGAAGCTTGCGCAGAGGAACTGGCAGGCGACCGTCGCCAGCCCCCCCAGGAAGCAGTCTGAGCGGGCGCCGCTAAAGGGGTGGACCATAGAGGATGAAAAACTGCATAAACAAACACCCTCGTAGGTACGCGCGAATTTCTTGGATCGGCGCTGGACCCCCCTTTCTGGCGCGCGGAGCGCGCCAAGGGCGGCGCCGGAAGCGCCGCCAGGGGGTCCCAAGCGCCGATCCAAGAAACCCGCGCGGACCTCCGAAAATTTCTGCTTGTGCTGCTCTTCTCTTCTTCGAGATCACGGGGTCGATGCCTGGGGAAAGGCAAAAACGTACCCATACCGCTACGACCCTCTCCTGGGGCGCTCTCTGCCCAGCTCGAGGCGAATCCAGCAGTGACGACGAGGGCCTCCCAGAAGGCTGAAGAAAAAGAGGGAAACAAACGGCAGAGTAGCGGTATGGGTATCCAGACATGTGACGTCCTGTTTTTTTCAATACGGGACCCCTGAAGTCCCGACCCTTTCCCCGGGACCGGTTTCTCATCCTTAGACGTTTTTGACGGTCCCAAAGCCCGGCGAGGGCCCCCCATGGCCGAAATTGGCCAGAATCCTCCCGTCCTGCTTCTTGTTACGACGCGATCATGTCTGGGTAATTACTCTTCCTCCTCCGAATGCCGTCCACGGCCGCCAGCATCCGCGGCACCTGCGCCTCGCACACGCCGCACACGGCGCCGCGCGGCGCCCCCGCCACGGCCGCCACGGCAGCACGCACGCCGCCCCACTCCGCGCCGCACGCGGGGCGGCCCAGGTCCTTGAGAGGTCCAGCAATGCGAACAAAAATCGCAGCGCTGCGACGAATCATCACTGCACCGACCTTGCAGACGTGCTGCAGCGGATTCTTGCTTGGATTTCTCTCCACACAAAACCCCGAAACGGCGAGTGTGGTCTTCATCCCTGGCCAACAAAAATCCGCACGAAATTCACCTCGAAATCCAGAACGAAATTCTCCAGGACAGTCCAGGCCCATCCCATTGTTTTACGAACGAAATCCGTTGGCGCCATGACGAATCACGACCAGAGCCCTGAGATCCTGGCGCTGCAGTTTCGTCACAACGGGCGCGCTCGCCCGGTTTCGGGCCCCTGGGGGCCCCCACAAATCGATGCGGCTCGAAAGATGCCGCAGTCGAGAGATGGGGTCCGGGGCTCTGGTCGTGATTTTTCCAGATGTTGCATTTGCCTCGCAAAAGTCGGATCTCAGGGGAGCCCCAGACCCCAGCTTCCTGCGGCATTTTTTCGAGCCGGATCCATCTGTAAGAATCCCAAGGGGCCCGAAGCCGGGCGAAGGCGCCCGTGGCGACCGAACGTAGCAGCGCCAGCGTCGCGAGCGAGATCGCAGCCCTGCGAAGCATCACGACTGGAGCCCTACGGTCCGGAGCTCCTGCTCCGCGTGTCGCGGCGGCGGCCCCGGCGGCACGATGCGCCATGCGAGTGGATGGCGTGTCGCTCCGTCCCGTGGGGCGGGAGGCTCGAAAAGGCTCGTGACGTTGACGCCACGGTGCCGAGGAGTGGGTAGCGTGTCACGCCGAGGCGTGGTGAGCCAGCCCGCCGGAACGAGGCGCCATTCAAAGGTTCCCCACGGTAGACCCCTGCTTCCTGCGGCACCTCTCCGAGCCTGACCGATGTGTGATAATCCCAAGGGGCCCAAGAGACCGGGCGAAGACGCCCGCCGTGAAAAAGAAGCAACGCCCGGGCTCGGTGGTCCATGTCGGAGTACTGCGTGTACTCGGCGTTGGACCAGAAGAAGGACATGTCGTACCTGGGGAAAGCAAAAGGTACCAATGCAACCACTCCCCGAACCTCTCCTGGGGCGCGTTCTGACCAGAACTTCGAGGCCCATCCGGCGGTGGCGGCGAGGGCTCCCCAGGAGGCCCAAGAGGGCGCAAACGAGGCAAGGGTAGGTACCTCTCCCAGACGTCCTGATGTTTTCAATACGGGGTCCCTGAAGTCCCGACCCTTTCCCCAGGACCGGTTTCTCATCCTGAATCGCTTCTTGACGGCCTCGAGGCCCGGCGAGGGCCCCCCGAGGCCGAAATCGGCCAGCAAAAAAATCCCGCCCTGCTTCTCCTCTACGACGCGATCAGGTCTGAGTCTTTCGGGAGGCACCAACTATACACCAGCACCGATCCCGGCCAGGATCACCCTAGGCCCAGGATCGGTGTATACGCCCTCCTGCCTTGCGCAAGAGGGCATATACACCGATCCTGGGCCCAGGGTGATCCTGGGCCAGGATCGGTGTTGGTGTATAGTTGGTGCCCTCCGAGCCTTCCTCCTCTGCACACCGCAGCGTGTCCGCCAGGGGCGGGCGACCCGCCTCCCTCAGGGCCCGCTGCACCGCGGCGGGCGGGTAGGCGCCGCCCACCGCGGGCGGGCGCGGCCCCTCCGCCCCGCCGAGTGCGAACTCCACGGGCTCCAGCGCCTGGTGTTAGGTCGGGCCTGTCCCCCTATAGCTACAGGGCGACTTCGGACGACAAATAAAAACTAGCCAAAACAGATTCCACTGAAAAAAAATCGCCCCCGCACGATCTGTGTTTTTGACCATTGCTGGACATTCCTCCTGCTGAGGGACACGCCCAACTTGCGCCTGGTTCTCGCAGGCGACCCAGCGCCGCTGGGCGCGCTCCCCGCACTCCGCGGCCGAGCACCCCGCGGCGGAGCACGCCGACGCCTCCGGCGCGCCCCAGGACGGCTCCGCGCGGCAGCCGCGCGGCGCGCTGAGCCAGCACCGGGCGCCGCTCTCGGGCGCCGCCGCGGCCGCGGCGGCGAGGCCCACGGCGGCCGCTCCCATGGGCGGCGGCGCGAGTCGTCGCGAAACTTAGGATGTCCCCAACCTACTTGAGCCTTGATCACCAGGAAGAATTTCGAGCACCAGGAACAATACCGAAACTCAAGGGTTTTCACGCGTCGGGACCTGGGCGGCACTCGCCCGACACTGTTTCGACACTCCTTCGACACTTTTCGGGGTGCTCGAAACTATTTCTGGGATGTGGTCCTTCAGTACGATGGGAGCAACATAACGCGAAACGCGAGCCCGGCCTGTGGGCGTCACGCCCGCGTCGGCACGCCCCCCCGCACGCTGTCCGTAGCCCCATAGAGAGCTCCACCGAAGGCCCCAGAAGCTCCGACCACGCGTGGGCGTCACGCCTCTTCGGCACGCCCCTCACACGTCCCGTGGCCTCAGAAGGACCGTCCACATTCGGGGGCGTCCAAGCGGGGGACGTCCAAGAAGGTGGGGGGGGAGGGGAGCGCAAATCGTGCCCGGCGGCACATGCGAGGGGGCCCAAGGGGGGGGGGGCGGGCCGGGAACGTTGAGGCATCCTGGCCCGGGCCATGCCATCCATCCCCACCCCTAATCGTCCCCCCCCACTTGGCCGCCCCGGCACACTGGCGGCGGCGGCTCGTCGGCGCGGCTCGGCTGGGGCAGAGCGCCGCCCGCGGGGGCGCGACAGGGTCTGAGCAGGGACCGACCGTCCAGTCATTACTATAGGCCTATCACGACATGTTCTTAGAACCCCCAAAGATGCTCCAAGAACCAAGAGCAGTGTCCTTCGAACATAGGCCCGATGCGCTAAAAAAACAGCCTGAGCCAGAAATGGTAGAAGAACCTTTCGTGCAGACCACAAAGTTGATTAGAACATTCTTTGGTGGGCCCCCCAAAAAAACGACTAAAACGCCATAACCATAAACCTTTGGCGTTTCGCACGGATTTATTGGATCTGTGCTATACCCCCCTGTGTGGCGCGCGGAGCGCGCCAGGGGCGGCACCGGAGGCGCCGCCAGGGGGGGTGCCCAGTGCGGATCCAAGAAATCCGCGCGCAGCGCCAAAAGTTTGGGTTGATGGCGTTTTCTCTTCTTCGCCACTGCTTGAAGGTGGGGGGACGATCACCACTTGGGATTTGATTTCTCCTCACTGCTTGAAGGTGGGGGGCCAATCCCTCGGCGGAGACCCCCCCCGCCTTCCCATCATCACCGCGTGAGAAGAGCGTGCGTGATTTCTTGGCCGCCCGCGCAGCGAAGAGAAGAAGCCGAGCAGCCGTCGGCGGAGGCCCGCGGGCGCGCGTCGGCGCGAAGGGGAGCCCCGGCGGCGCCCCGGGCGTGCGGAGGGCGCGCGAGGAGGGCGGTGCGGCGCTTCGGAGAGGGCGGCGGGGCCTCCGAGAAGCCGCCGCCGGGCGGCTCGCGTCGATGCACGAGCGCATCCCGGCGCCAGGATTAGCTCGGGCCTACAGGCAGACTCTGGGGCGAAACATTAGAAAAACAAACCTAAAAAGATTCAAGCATGGCTGAAACTACTCGAACATCGTCCCCTGGCTATTCTTGTGCTATCTTTGAATATGCCTCCTGTAGAGGGACAGGCCCGACTTAACGCCAGGAGGCGCCAGGAAGACCAGCTGCACGTGCTCTGATGGGGAAAGGAGGGGGGGTCGCGAGAGCTGCGGCGTGCGGCTGGTTCTTATGGGAGGCGGCGCGGGGCTTCTGAGAAGGGGGGGGCCTTCCTAGAAAGTCGGGGGGGGACGAAAGGGCATAGGATAGCAGAGGGCAGGGGAGAGAATCAGCTCACGCGGCTGGTCTTCCTGGCGCCTTCTGGCGCCGGGAGGCGCCCATGCATGCATGGGCGGCGGGGTGGAAAGCAGCTGCATCAAGGAACGAGCCCGGCGGCGGGGTGGAAACCAGCTGCATACAGCAGATTTCGTACCCCCCCAAGGGAACCTGGGGGCTACTGAAAAGGCTTCTCAGACGCCGAGCAGGCTCCTCAGAAGCTCCCCCGACTGCTCAGAAGCCCCGCCGCCTTCTCAGAAACGCAACCCCTTCGCGCCACTACCCTGCGGGCGCCGCCAGGAGGGGGAACGTCACGGGGGGCTGACTAAAGGGGGGGGGGACATCGACATGGAGTCGGCGATAGATCGCCGATAGATCGGTGACAGGCTCTCGATGGCCGAACCCCTTCCTGGGTGGGGTGGGCTATCAGGGCCCTGTCGGCGATCATGGGCGATTGAGGGTCGACGCATCCCCCCCTGACCCTGAGCCTACTGTCGAGAAGTTGTTCACAGCGTGTCGCAGCGGCGGCCCTGGCGGCACGCTGTGCCCTGCGAGTGGATGGCGTGTCGCTGCGCTCCACGGGGCGGGAGGCTCGGAAAGGCTCAAGACGTGGAGGCTCGGGGACCGGGAAGTGGATGGCGTGTCGCGCCGAAGCGTGGTGGGCCAGAACCTGCGGCGCGACACGCTATCCCAAAGTTCCCGACCGTATCCCCCCCTATCGCTGCCACTGGGCAAGGCGGCGCGAGCTGCGAGCAACGCCCCTGGCCGCGCAACGCCGCTGGCGAGCTCCTCGGCCACGTCTTGGGACCAGGAGGTGTTCCTGCTCGTTCCATTCCCCTCCTGTCCCTCCTCTATCTCCTCCTCCTCCTCCTCCTCCTCCTCCTCCTCCTGTTCCTCCTCCTCCTCCTCTTCCTCTTCCTCCTCATCCTAATCCGTCATTCCCTCCTCCTCCTCCTCCTCCTCCTCCTCCTCCTGATCATTATTATCAGCAGCACCATCATCATCATCATCATCATCATCATCATCATCATCATCATCATCATCATCATCATCATCATCATCATCATCATCATCACCATCACCATCATCATCATCATCATCATCATCATCATCATCGTCATCATCATCATCATCATCATCGTCATCATCGTCATCATCATCAGCAGCAGCAGTATCACCATCATTGTCATCATAGTCAGCATCATCATGTTCAACATCATCAACATCAGCAGCATCCGCATCATCGTTATCATCATGAGCATCATCAACATCATCATCATAATCATCATCACCATCACCATCATCATCACAATCAACACCATCACCATCACCATCATCTTCATCAGCAGCAGCAACATCATCAGCAGCAGCATCATCATCATCGTCGTCCAGCAGCAGCAGCATCAGCATCATCATCATCATTATCATCACCATCATCATCGTCCTCCTCCTCCTCCTTCTCATCGACCCTCTGCTGCCCTCTTCTGATCTGAAACCCTGTTAGCTCTCAGAGGGCTACCTGGGAGTCATCATTACTACCAGCACCATCTCTATCACAACCATCGTCATCATCATCATCATCATCATCATCATCATCATCATCATCATCATCACCAACACCATCACCACCAACATCATAACCATCATCCGCAACAGCATCATCGTAATCATCAGCATCGCCATCAGCATCAGCATCAGCAGCATCATCATCATCCGCAGCATCACCATCATCATCATCTTGATCATCATCAGCAGCATCATCATCACCATCATCATCATCCTCATCATCATGATCATCATCATCATCTGTCATCCCCTCCTCCTCATCCTCTTCATCCTTCATGCTCCTTATCCATCCTCCACCTCCTCGCCCCCCTCCTCCTGATTATTCGTCCCCCCCGCCCCGACGCTCCCGCATGATACGCAGCCGCCTCTCGTATCCCTCCTTCGTCTCCTTTGTCTCCTCCTCCCTGTCCTGCTCCTCCTCCATATTTATCATCATCACCATCAGCAGCAGTATCATCATCAGAATCATCAGCAGCAACGTCATCATCATCCGCAGCAGCATCAGCATCAGCATCAGCATCAGCATCATCAGCAGCAGCAACAGCATGAGCAGCATCATCATCGTAGTAGTACTCTTCTTAGTCCGCATCCTCATCATCGTCAGCATCATCATCATTATCGGCATCATCATGATGATTGAGGTCATCATCATCATCATCATCATCATCATCATCATCATCATCATCATCATCACCATCATCATCATCATCATCAGCATCATCATCGTCATCATCGTCAGCATCATCATCATTAGCATCGTCATAATCCACCTCCTGCTCCTCCTGCTCCTGCTGCTCCTCGAGCTACCCATGATACGACTCCACCTCGTCGCTGTCCTCCTCGACATGGAGCATAAAGGTTGGGGGTCAATCCGAAAAGTCCCCGGACGTTTGGGGCGCCCCGTGGACCACTGAAGACATTCGGGGAGGATCAGCGGCGGGCCGAGGGGGGCTGCGAAAGAGAGGGCGAGCCTTGGGTCGGGCATGTCCCCCTAATCCGAAAGCCCTTATAACGGCGACGAGGCGACGATCGAAAGCAGTGCCCCGGCACTGCTTTGAACGCGTTCAAAGCAGTGCCCCGGCACTGCTTTGAACGTATGATATGATGATATGATGATGATTATGATTGATGATGATGATGATTTTTCCAGCGTACACTGTCCGCAACTGCGGCAATCAACATCATGCTCCACTTGCCCGCAACTGCGGCCATCACCAACGCTGCGCCTCGAAGCTCCACGGAGGGCGCTCGGCAGGTCGCCCGCTCGAGCCCCACTCGACTTCACGCTGAGGAGGCGAGCCCTCAGGGGCATTGTCCGCAACTGCGGCATGATCAGAGGGCCACCACTGCGCGCCATCAGCGCCCCATTCGCTCGAGCTCCAGTCCCACCAGGACCAGCCCTGCCATCTCGTGGCGGGACTGCGCGCCTCCCATGCGCCGCTGCCGCTGGCGTCCCAGGACCCAGCCGCCACTGCGGCACAAGAAGGGGTCGCATCGTCGCCGTTGGCAGCTTGCGGCGGTGGCGTGTTCCCAGCTCGCTCAGCCCCAGCGTCTCTCCCCGCAACTGCGGTTCCCATCTGGGGTCGGACGCCCTTCCCCGCAACTGCGGTGTCCGCGTAGCT